CTGAGGCAGCTCGAGCTTAAGATCAAGATCAGTTCAGTCAGGACTCGGACGTAAATGAGGACTTGATCCACAACGCTATGGAGCACAATCGTGGCATGGCACATCGCAATTCAGCACGGCGCAGCACAGCACAGCTCTTGGCACGGTACATCAAGATCGATGCACTCAGCATTGCAAGTGCCTGTCGCCCAATCAGGTGTCTTGAAAACGTTGCCGTGCCTTACACATTTCTATATTCCTGTCTGGGTTCGTGGGTCGATCATGTTGAAATCGCCTCTGTGGCCGAAAGTTGGGCTAGAGCTTGGCCAAGCTATCGGAGCGTGTGTTCCCCCAGCCGTTGTTGAAACCCTTTTGGGAACACGTGAGAAAGAGGAAAAGGAGGGGACTGGGGAGAAGAAGGAACAGGGAGGAGGCGGAGGAGGAGGAGGAGGAGGAGGAGGAGAAGGAGGAGGAGGAGGAGGAGCTTGGGAGCCTCTTGGGGCCTCCTGGGAGCTTCCTGGGAGCTTCTTGGAGGCCTCTTGGGGGTCTCCTTCGGCCTCTTGGGGGCCTTTGGGGGCTTGTTCGGGGCCTCATTGGCCGTCTTAGGGCGTTCCTGGCCCGTCTGACGCTGTCGGGGGCCGTCTTGGGGGCATCTCTGGACCGTTTTGGTACCTAATTGGGGTGCTTCAGAGACGTCCTCAGTTGGGCAGCTCGATCGACCGATCCCCCGCAGCGACTCGACTCGACTCGACTCGACTCGACTCGACTCGACTCGGGCAGGCATGAGCGCGTCCGCCGTCGATCCCGGCATTTAGTGGGCCCCGGAAACAGCAGGGCCGTGTTTTCACCGTTTCCGAAAAAGTGTCTCTTGAAAGTGGAAGCGGGAAAAAACGGCGACCGGAAACGGCAACCATTCGACGCGGAGATCCCCATGAAGACATTGTCCTTTTTCAATACCCGAGTGTCAGCGAGTCCACGTGGAAAATGAGGCCGAGAGAGACGCCGACGACTACGACAACTTTAAGTAGGTGCTTCCTCCTTCCGTCCTCCTCCTCCTCCTCCTCCTCCTCCTCCTCCTCCTCCTCCTCCTCTGGGAGTGCTGAAACCAGCGCCTCGCCGTAGACTCTGTGAGTCTGAGCGCAGAAGTACCAGGAGCGTAAGTGAGTCTGCATATGAGTGAGTAATCTGAGTATGAGTAATGAGTGAGTTTGCGTATGAGTGAGTCTCGAGCATGAGTAATCCGAGTATCAAGAATCTAAGAGCGCGTGTATCTGAGTATGAGTGAGTCTGAGTATGAGTGAGTCTACGTGAGTGAACCAGAGAATGATGACCTGAGGGTGGGAGCTGTCCCTCCGCGCGGTCAAAGCAACAACAAGAACCCCATCCTTAGGATATGGGGGAACCGCTACAGGATTGGAACCGGAGCCAGAACCGTTAAAAAACCGGCGACGGAACCGGTAAAGAAACGGCATCGGAACCGGCAACAAACCTGCAAGACAGAATTGGTAAAACAACGGCCCTGTCGCTTTCAGGGCCCACTAAGTCCTTGCAGACATCCTTTCGACCAGCTTTCGATGAGGGCTCCACAGCGCGCTGATGGCGCGCCGTAGCCCTTAGTTCGTCGTCCTGTTGTAGTCGACGAACGGGTCCTCCCTGTCTTTGCGTTGGGCCCCCTCCCTTCGGCTCGCGAGCTGAGGGGGCCCAACCTTCTCTCCAGCGTCTTTGCGTGGGGCCCCCCTCCCTTCGGCTCGCTGAGGGGGGCTCCACCTTCGGCAGACATCCTCATCCTCCTGCCCCCCCGGCTGGCGTAGCCCGCCCCTGGAGGTGGCCACGCCGTTTTCCCGCTGCCGGGCCCTGTGCCGCTGGCTGCTCCGCGCCGGGCACAAGTCGCTGAAGGCCTGCGGAGGAGGAGGAGGAGGAGGAGGAGGAGGAGAAGGAGGAGGAAAAGGAGGAGGAGGAGGAGGAGGAGGGAGGATGAGGAGGAGGAAAAGAAGTGAAGAGGGGATAGAAGAAGGGGGAGGAGGAGATAAGAGAGGAGGGGAGGAAAGGAAGAAGAAGAAGAAGAGAGGAGGAGGAGGATGGAAGGAAAGAGGAAAGAGGAAAGAGGAAAGTATGAGGATGAGGAGGAGGAGGAGGAGGAGAGGAGGAGGGAGGAGGGAGGAGGGGAGGAGGGGTCGGGGGGGGGGAGGGGGGGGGGGGGGGGGGGGAGGAGGAGGAGGAGGAGAAGGAGAAGGAGTGAGGGAGTAGGAGGAGAGGAGGAAGAGGAGGAGGAAGGAGAGAGATGAGGAGAGAGTGGAGAAAGAGGAAGAGAGGAGGAGGAGGGAGAGGAGGAGGAGGAGGAGGAGGATTGGCGCGTCTTGGGGACCCGTGAGGCCGTCTAAGCTACCTCAAGGTAGAGTCACGCGACCGACCCCGAGGTGCGCGCACGTTTTCCCGAATGGGCCCTGTATGTCAATGACCAGGCAGATCGGCTCGCAAGCGAAGCCGCTGCCCAAGCTGCTGTGCCCGCTGACCTAGCGCAGAGAGTGTTGGCCCTCGACACCCTCGGCGAACAGATCAGAGGGCGACTGGCAGCGGTCCAAATGTTGTGGTGGACCCATTTTCCAGTAGCCGAAGATAGCGCCGAATGCAAGAGAGCTCGCAGACGCGAGCGGAGCGAACGTGCCCTGCAGCATCTGCTCTCGCACACCCCCCACTGGCCCCACGTCAGCGAGACGCAAGATTCTTGCTCAAGATGTGGGAAGCAGACCCACAGGAGGTCATGCGCCAGGTGGCTCCGCACCCGATGTCCTGGCTCAGCCAGTGGCACTGCCCCAGGGAGTGGAGGCCCCAGTGGGGGAGTAGTGCCCAGTTTCGATTTGACGGAAGGCGACGGACCCGCCCTCCATCCCAGCCACCGATCCCATCTCGCCATCTGTCGCGGGGTTCTCTGGTGTCGGCGGTGCGGG